AACGGTTGTTTTATTTCATTATTGTCATTTTTGTTTTATTTTTTTAATTTTTCTTTCTTGTTACCGTATGGTGGTTTGTTCACTCACCGACATGGGCTTGAACAATTTGGAAACGACTCGAATCCAAAATGCGGCCGATACAAAGAGCAGTGTGTAGTCATGACCCGCCCCATACACACTAATCGGTTGGAACTTTTGGCTGTACTAGTAATAGTTAGGGAATATGCTCCAGCAACAATAATACCTTCTTCCAGTCACACCACCCTTGCCCAGTACGGAGAAAGTAACATTTGCTGTACGGAGCACACGGCAATGTATTCTAGAATCCAGAAGAGGCACTGATTGGTGAGAGGGCAAAGGAGACCGCCGAACCTGAAGCGGGAAAAAATACTTAGTAGGTTAAGTAGTGGTCTCTGGTATCCCAGCCAGTGGGGGTGGGCGTAAGTGTCTTCTTTCTCGCTTCTTTTCTTTTTCTTTCCTTAATTTTAATTAGTTTTGTGTTTTCCCCTTTTCCTTTTTCCTCTTATTTTCTGGCTTCTTTTCCTTATCCGGTGAAGGATTATTATGTGGCTGCATGATCATCCAGGCTCGCAGGAAGCTAGTTGGTTGAGATGTGATATGCACCGTGCTGAAAAAAGTAGCCAAGGATGTATAATTGGTGGAGACCAAGTGCTGGGGTTTTAATTGAGAGCCATTTGTTGGAAGCCTGTATAAGGAAGGGTATGGGGTCCCTAATGGAGGGAGGGCGAATGTCGTGCAGGATGTGTCCGCGGGATGCGGCGCGAATCCCATAGTAACCTTGAACCAGGGGGGGCGAGAGACGGAGGTTGCATTTCAAGCCAGGGTAAGCCCCATTAGCCCGTTGAATGGAGCCTGTCGGCGGGTTGAAGTCCAAGGGTAGGGCGTCAAAGACCCATGAGATTCAAATTTCTCCCTAGAAAGGACATTGCTGATCGGTCATGATGAATGAGATGATGATGATATCGGCAAAGGGGCGAATTTTCTCCTGAAAGATCAGAAACTGTGAAAAGACAGTCCTCGAACTGGAACCTTTTCCAGATGGTAAACATCTTAGGAATTTGTTTGTGGAGTTGCTTGTTTTCCCTGCTTATTCTTTCCCCTTTGAATTTCGTGCGCCTGGTTTGGCGGAGACACACCAAAACATGAATCGGGATCCGCATCGTGACGCTAAACCCAACCCGACCGAAGGCACGTGCCCCGCATGGGGTCATCCCCAAAGAGTATAGCGGCATACCTGCATGGACCTTCTTCTTACAACAACAATTGAGCCTTCGACCATCCACCCCGTTATCGTCCCTGTCCTTGTCTCCTCCATCCCACCCATCCATTTCTTTTTTGATTTATATATTTTATTGTTATGGCATCCAACTGACTAGTAGCCTTGCCGTTGGGACCGTCAGAAAAAAACCTTGTTCAGGCAACGGTCCTCGTCATGGCCTTTCGTCTATTATTGGCATGTCCAGATAGATGCCCTCCACGATGGCCGCCTACACAATAGCAAAAGTTTATTGCTTGCTGTCTTGGCCGCCATTCACAGCTCGATCTAGAGTCCACTACTAATACCCGTGGGGACTGATTAGCGAATCACAGAGTATCATCTTATGGAGACACAGTTACCGTGACTCGTGGGAAGCAAGCCTACTCCTACTCCGAAGAAACCTTTCTCCACTACCGATGTCCATAGTGAGTAAACTTCTTTAACTAATTCCTTTTTCTTTGTCTCAACTGGCCCCAGCCTTTCCTTGGTTAAGAGAGGCCCGTCCGCCCGGAAACCCGTCCATATTAGAGTTCGAACAAGGTCCCATTCAAGACCGTGGCTTCTAGCCTATCCGGGAATGTGTTGGACCTGTCCTAGGGTTGCCCGTGCTAACATTTTGTGCAGATGGAGTACTTCCGATTGACTCGCATCTTCAGTGTTCCAGGAGCAATAGCTGCGATACGCTCTTCTCTTCACCTGCTGACTTTTTCTACCCGCACTGGTGGTGGCTGATACCCTCTGCGGACGGCACTCCTGTACGACAGTCGAATAATTACCTTTATAAGCCATAATCGAGCGAAGGGACAGCCATGGCATGCTCTCATCTGCAACTGGCCGATATTACGGTTTGGACCATCAAGATAGTCCGCACATCGGCTGTCATGCCAATCAAGGCAGCTGAGCTCATCTGGAGTCCAGAACAATCGGCTTTAATTTCCGGGATCCCCTAATGTTCCCACGTTTGAATGAGTCCTTGGCAGGCTTTTAGTGCCCCAGCTTCAGCTGCCCGACGAAGTGTGACTTCCACTTTGCAACTGGCCCCATTTATTCAATCATTTTTAACGGACCATCACATCGAGAAGATGATCTCGACAAGGTCAACCGCTTCCCTCATGCTAATGTACAGGTACAGGATAAACCTGATAGATACGATCGTTCTTGGCGTCCCAAAGCACAAGCGGTCCAATATATTTTCATGAACTACTATAATGGGAGCACAAATATCACTGCAACGCGTGTCATAGCCGATAACTTGCGCTAAAAACGCTGTAGCCTCGGACCCGAAAGTATTGGATGCGGTCTGCATAGACTCTGGTCAGCCACTTGTACGATTTCCCAATTGCCATCAACTAGGATTCTTTGTCAAGGCAGGGTCAGGTGTAGTCTTGTTGTAAGGCACCCTTTGTTTGGTGAGTATAGCTCTCTTTGGTCTTGCCACCACCTGTAGTGAAAGGACGGCCTCCGGCCACTTTCTGCTTTATTGATATTGTCCTGCACCTTGTCAGCTACAAGGGCTTTCGTTTCTAATTTCCGCAATATGACTCTTTCTCACCAATTGCAATATGCATCTGGTTGTTTGACAAAGCACGCTATAACTACGAATAGGCCTGCAGCTTTTTCTTTGGGCGCGCCCGCAAACCGGCGCATCTTTACTACATCCATCCTGTCTGTGCAACTTCTTAGGCTATTAGTCAGTCGATCAATTGTCTATGCTGATGTTTATCATCGGTGCATAGTACAGCCCGGTTTCAATATTGATGCGAGTGGTGCTGGGATACACTGAATAGTGACGCCCTATCTTTCCCGATCCCTTTTGCCAGTCCATGGCGGTAAGGCTTTACAGGTAAGCTGTATACTCTTCTCAGGTCATGACTGACGTGTTCCTAGCCTCAGTAGTATCCCCTGTTATGCAGCGTACGGAGAGCGGCACGAATAAATCTAGCAACGAAAAAGAACCGAGAAAGTCGCCGGTGGCTGCGAGGCATATGCCTGCATGGAGTCTGATGATGGACCAGTCATAAAACCCGATGCGCCAAAGAAAACGAGATGAAGGGCGGCCGTCATGCCTGATTGAGCGGTAGTGGCAATGGTGACGTTGATGGAGCTTCAGCCAACGGACTGGCATGTCCAAGTGCACGAGGACACAGAGCGGGCAGTGGGATCCCATCTGCCAGTCTTGTACGCTCTTCGAGTCGCACAGAATGAAGCCAGAGGGTCTGTCTCAGAGCCAAGAAAGGCTAGTTTCAGGACTTGCTGGATACGTCCCCCCAACGATACACAAAACCATTGTTAACAACTTCCCGTTCCATACCCGTTTTCATGCAATGTAACCAGCCATCTGGACACACAGCACCATTCACAATCCTTCCGAGCAGCGAATACTCCGGGCTGTGAACGAAGATTACACGAAACCGAATTGATTTGATTGAATATCGAAAGCCACTGGCCTGGCGCCACGCTCTGAATAGTCCCGTGCATCCACTCGTATGCTGGGAGATGTCCTCTGTGGCCCGGGGGTCATGGCGGCTCGATATCGATCTCACATCTGGTCATGCTCTCCATACAAGGCGGAATCGTCTACTCGAGAAGTGCGTCGTCCCGCTTGCCATGCCGATTTTCTTCCCTAGATAGACATACATGCAGAGCTGCCTTGCCGAAGACACTCATGACGAAGCTCATGCAAACACACTATCAGCCAGCAGCCTTCCACCTTTACCGAACGACAACACAGCCTCTCTTCGCAATTGTCATGACCAATATCTCAGCATCCCCGGCGTTCATAGACAGCTAGCTGTTGACCCCCGGACCATCTACAGACTGCCCATGATCTTGGCTCGTTGGTCCGCACTCTGTAGACCCATGGTCGTTATTCACCATGCAGCTCGTCTCTGCAAAGCCTGATCAGTACAGTCAATGCTGCCTTGTCACGTCCCGAGTGGCTCAAGTCTAGGCCTTTCTGACACATGCCGCCAAATCATAGAAGCTTGTCAGCTAATACGCATTGAGTCATCATAGCAAGGATCTAATAACCAACTACCCGATACATACCACGCAGGAGGCTCTTCAATGTCTACCATCTGATTGAGATGTAGACCCCAGCCAGGCTGTCGATACTTGACGGACGATGATACGGGAGCATTACCCCAATAACCAATAAAACCAGTTCCTCCCCGTCCTAGAACCAGGACAGTACTACTACTTAGGTTCCCAAGTAAGCAGGACCGAACCTTTTTACTTTAATTACTCTATTACACTCTATGTAGTGTGACTCCAACGAACAAATTGAAATACTTTTGTTTTTGGGTTTGAACCTTCTCCCTCGATCTAAGAATACTTCCACCCGCGATCGATCAATGCACGGAAAAGTAAAAAAGAAAAAGAGGAGCATGCAAACAAGCAAGCAAGCTTGCCTTGCCTTGCCTTGCCTTGCAACTCAGCATGACAAATAGACACAATGAACCGGAAGAGAGTAGTGCGCGTATAAGGAAAAGAAAGACCAGACCACGCTGCTTTTCTCTGTATCAAATCGACCACAAAAAAGCAAAGAGAAGACGACACACACACACTCACACACGCACGACACATTGGGATGCCTTTTGTTCTTCAGTAATCATCATTATCGATCGGATCATACAATACAAAGAAAAGTAGTCAATAGATGAGAAATTGAAGATCTTCTTCAGCCATGGGAAGTGTGGATGGATGGAGAAACCCGCCTGCCTGACGAAAAGAGACCCAAGGGTGTCATGTCATGATACGTACGGAAAAAACCAAAAAGCAAGAGAAGAAGTTAATAAGGAGGAGAATAGAGTGTGGGAAGAAAAAAATGTGGGAATTGGAAATTTGGAGGAGAAAATCTAAGTGGCACGCTTGGCGAATTCGACGCGCAGGATAAGGTGACGGTAACCGACTAGATGAAGAGGAAATATTAGTTGCGATTCCGATAACTTGCTTTGTTGCTGACATTGCAACGATGGCAATGGAAAAACAAATATGACGCAGAAAAAAAAAAATGAAATGGAATGGAATGGAATGAATGAAATGGAGGGATAACTTACAGCCATCCATCTTGTCGCAAGCACGTGCAGCATCGTCCCGATCCGCAAAGCTGATGAAAGCGAAGCCCTTGGCTCTCTGGGTTTCTCTGTCTCTGGCAAGGAAAACTCTGGTGACACGACCGAAGCGTTCGAACAGATCCCGCAGTTCTCCTTCCTCTGCCAACTCGCTCACCTGTTTGGGTTTGTTGTCAGTCAGTGATGTGTCCGTGGGAAGCCAAATGCAATAGAAGCAAGGAAAGTAGAGGAAGCCGATTGCTGTTCTCATGACATCCATGTGTCTGCCCGAAAGGGCTGCTTCCTCTTTCTCTCTTTCCCTCTCTCAAAACAACACCAATAGGAGTGTTTAGAGGGGAAAGAGAGGGCAGAGCAGGCAAGGGAAAGGAGAGAGAGAGGAACAGAAGGAGGAAAACTAGCATCCCCTGTCCCCTCTACCCCTCCCCCCTCCCCCTCCGGGGAGACCAACAAATAGCAAAACAGTGTCCAGTAAAATCAAGGACAAGGGTGAGGTAATTGGGAAAACTTACGTTCGTAACTCTCAGAGTCGCCAAATCATCCTTCTCATACTTGCCAGCCATTCTCTCTCCGCCACCAGCAGCACCCTTCCGCAGATGAGGGGGCACGTAGCTAGAAGTACCAGCACCCAAACCACCAGCAGCCGGAGAATCCTCAGCACCACCCTCACCACCAGCAGAGGGCTCGTCGACAGGAGCCATAGTATCCTTGAAGGGACAACGAGCAGTAAAGTGCTCGCCACTGCAAATACGACACTTGACCTTCTTGTCCTTCAGCTGATCCTTCATACTGCCCTTCTCGCCACCATTCTTCTCCGCCTCGGCCGCCTGAACCTTCCAGTTGACGCTGGGCCGGAAAGCAATGTTCTCACCCACGGAGGTCGTATCGAAGGAAGGTCCGGGCGCGTTGCCCTTCTCCAGACCGAACTTGGCCCAGGACCTCCGCTCCGCGACCTGAGGGTTGACATGTTCGCGAACAACGGTCGTTTTGATCCGGCGGGTCACCTTCACCTTCTTGCCTTCGTCGTTGAATCGGTAGGAGACGATCGTCTTCGTGCCATCTTTGTTGGTCGTGATTTGCTGCGGGGGGAGAGCGGAGGGGTCGTCGAACTCCTCGTCGTCGGCCCAGTCGGCGCGGCTGGAAAGTGGAAAAACAGTCCTGGTCAGATTTTCTTTCTTTTCGTTGTCTTCTTTTTTTTGTCGCTTCTTAACCCTGGATTTTCGGGGGTTGGGGGGGAGTTTCCGCTTACTTTCCAAGCTTCGACATTGTGTGTGTGATGGGGGGGTTGATGATGTCGCCGATTGTTGCTGAATTTCTGGATTTCAGCGAAAGATGCAAGATCCGTTGTGGATTTGTTCGGCGCGGCAAATGCCTTGTGGCGCATGTTAAGTGTGGCTGGTGCGTTGGTGCCTGGGTCACGTGAAAGACAGGATGATGGCTACCGTTGGTATGCATGCACCGAACATCTTTCTACTATAAGACGGTTTTTTTTATTTTATTTTCTTTTTCTTTAGATTTAGATGCATATTAAACGGCCTATTAAATGAAGATCTGCCTCAATGCTATCTCGTTTCCCACTGCCAGAACAGATCAAGATGACAACGCCCAGACGCATGTTAACCCTTCCCCTTTCCGCCTTGCTTGTAAATACCATGGCCGACGAGTGGCTATTCCTGGTCACTATGATTGTTCAGACCAGATCCGATCCAAATATTTAGAAGCTTCACGTTTAGACGTAGTCCGCTTTAACGCTTCCATAGTTGCGACCTTCATACCAGAGTGTGTAGACACAGTGAGCGGAATAATACACCGCGTGAATTTCGTATTGGACGACGTAGTATAGCTCATTGTCTGCACCGCGTTTAATTGGGATGCGTTCCTTTTCAATGACACCGAGACTTGGGTTCAATGTGGCATGTTGCTTCACGCCTAAGAATAGCATAGTCAATAATCCGTAATCAACCATTTTCAGCTGTGCGAGAGGACTTACGGCGATTGAAATACAAAGGTGGCTTTTCACCTATAGCAGTATTCACTTTGTATAGGCTGACCCTAATTGAGTCGAAAGCGCCATCTTTGACCCGTCTACGTTTGATCCATGTTGTTTTGATGGCCTTCGCTTCTTCCATGTCATCCCCCTGAATAGTACCTCGTTAGCGTTTATATATTGACTTGAGAATCATTCCATACCTTGCGAACAAACCATCTCATAACATCAATATAATACTCACCATAAAAGTAACTCCAGTATCTAGATGCGATGGTCTTCAGTTAGCCCCAAGATTGTAAGAGTTGACCCGATCGCACAAGGAGGATTGTTGCTACTTACTTCTTCTTCTCATCATGCACCCCATGAATGAATTCGGTCTGGTACGTTGTCCCATAATTTTCCCTGGCCTTGCGGGATTCTATGAAAGTCTTCGCCGTTGTGTCGGAAATATCCCCAAGAGTCTTTGCCAACGCGCCCCTAACGACAGCAGTCCAGCCGTCGACTGGTGCTATCACTTGCACGCCTGGAGAGAAGCAGTCACGAAGATGTTTGCGAAGGTATGGACTCTGTCCAAACCCTCCAACCAACAAAACTGCTTTCACCTCTGCACGAGAAGTCTGGATTTGCTCACGGACAAGTTTCTCAATATCTCGTATAGTAGGTAAGAATAGCTTTTGCATCTCTTTTCCAGTAACGCGAATTCGGCCGCGACGGACCCCGAGTTCCAGGTCGTCTGCTATACCTGGCACAGGAAACATAAAGTCGTGATCAGTGCTTCCCTCGAATGTTCTTTTCACGACACTTTCAAAACGCTGCATTGCCTCGTCTAGCGTGTCCCTGCCCCATCCCGGGAGCTGGGAAAGGCGATCGTCCAGCAACTTTTCGAAGCTCCTATTGAGAAACGTGCTGCCACACATGGATCCAGTACCCGGAGCTTCTTCTCTTAGACGCAGATAGGGTTCAAGCCCAGTAATCATGAACGTAATAAGATCTACTGTGCCGCCACCCGCATCACAGAGGACAAACGTATCTCCAATATCCGCCAAAGGGTGTCCAGGAGCACGTAGCGAATGTATGGCGGCAGCTTCAGGCTCAGATATAATGTGTATCGTAGACATGTCTCCAAAGCCCGCTTTTTCTGCGCACGAGAGCGTTGACATTTTCGCTTTATCTGGCCACATTGCTGGGACTGTGATGACAAATTCGAGGTTCGTACTGTCCACTGAGCTACCATGTCTCAATTTCAAAATTTTAACTGCATGTTTACGTAGGGAACGAAGGTAGTCTGTAGCGACCTTCTCAGGTGATGAAAAGCAGGGAATAGGCATTCGGCGGTAATCACTGTGTGTCGAAGACGGTCTTGATCCTTCCCCAAGATCAAGATCAGGAACAAGTTCGAGTTTGAACCACTGAATCCGTGGCGTTTCCTCCAGGATTTGAAAGCCCCATAGACATTTCTTCTTCTCGTGCTGAGGATACTCATACCTGACTTCGCTGGGTACTTTTTCGCTGGTCAATCCACCACATGAGTCAGAGCCATATTGCGGCCATTCCGTGATTATGTGGTGGTTATCAGGCTGGGAAAGGCATCAGTATTTCTTCCAATAATGTAGTTGCGATCCACGCACGTTACTCATTTGAGCCCAGGCTATCCCAGAGTAGGTGGTGCCAAAGTCCACCGCAATGACTATGGTTCTTTTACTGGAAGAACTGGTCATGTCTCTTGTGTTCTTTTGTTTGCCGCTTTTATAATCGTTGCAAGGAACCTGATGCTTATGACAGGAGAGCCTCAACTTCAGTAAGCCGATCCAATAGCACTTGTCTGTGAGACACCTCTGTATGGGAAGTATCAGTAAGGTAAGTATGAATGTTCAGCGATCTTGCAAGAGAGGGATTCGTCATGAAACTTTCACTGAGGCATCACTCGTTGAACACAGGTAAAGGAAACCTTTTGCAGTGAATGGTTGAGTGCACGTGTCCTGATATGGGTACTTCTCTTAGATATTCTTCGCGGTCAGTATCCTCATCAAGCAGTCTTCATCTGGTATTTCCTGTTCAGTGGGAATTTCAGAGTAGGTGAGAAACTTACTTCACCTTCTTGCTTTGCCTTTCTTTTCTTTCGATTAATACAAGCACCAAGCCAATATTGGCCTGAAATTAGAAAAAACGGGACAGAAATGGACGAGAAGGAAATCTTTAGTGTCAAGGAAGAGGAAAAGTCTCTCCTTCGCCCTTGCAACTTTGCCCAAGAAAACGGAAACCGTATAGCGCGAGATAGATTAGCGGATGCTGTTCGAACCCCCGACAATAGAATCACGGAATCTGAAAATGAAGTTGGTTTGGAGCAATCATACAGCCATGTGGTCAAACTATCAAAATTGCTGCACCATGAGATATCCAAACTTAGGCGTATCTCTGGAGAGAATCAACACGTTATAAGATCAATGCAGGAGAAGATTGCCCAATTGAAGAAGCATAACCAAATTTTGGAGGAACAGTTACAAGACTGTCAGGCACGAATACTCAGATCATCTCCTGTGGCTGTCTTGAGTGATGCTACTGTCTTGGCAGATTTCAGTAGGATTCGCGAGACCCTTTCTAACTGGGTTGAGGAGTTGCCTGAAATTTGTGAAGACTTTGCCGGTCACTTGTTTGCCGCATTCAGCGAACTTTCTCTTGATTCTCATGTATCCAAAGATACGAATAGCTATCCACAAGGGCCTCTTGCAGTGCAGTCTGAACTTCTGATGCACCTGGTTTTCTGTCGTCTTTCAAAGGGGCTCTTTGAGGTCTTAGTCCCGGGAATATCACCATCAGATAACGATCTCTTGGATGGCCTTCGTGAGGGGCTGTTGTCGCTACAGTCCAAGAACAGTAGGTGTCGCGAATAGTAGCATCAGACTCGTTTTCACATTTGCTAACTTTGTTAGACTTCGAGAATGTGAGTGGTGGGAGTTCGAACATTATAGAGGCCTATGTTGCATCCCAAAAATACCAGAAGGGTGTCGACAACGAATGCTTCGAGATAATCGCTGATTTGGACGACTTTTTTTGGTGGATCGACTTTGAGTGCGACGTTAATTGGGACAGCAAAATGGCAACACTATCTACAAATATTCTGGAACCGGCCGTCAGTCTCGCAACGAAGATGAGCTGTTCACCCGCGCAATACATGTGGAATTGGTATGGCGAGGCATACTTCCCCCAACGAGTCGTACGCAAGTACCACCTGAAACATTTTACCGTGCAAGACGCCCGCACTCATAATAGAGTATCCCTGGCAAATCTTGCGCTTTTGGACGATGAAACCCCACTTGGCGAGCTCTTGGTGATAATTTTCCCTGCATTGTTCCGACGGGGAACTCATGGGAGTAGGGATGTCCAAATTGAGAAGGCTGTTGTCCTCATCCGGGCGAACGAGGACTTGCAGAGACAGAAGAGATCGGAAAACAGATCACGCATGTTTGGAAAAAGTGTTCTCCAGAAGTTCAAGGATTCTGCTCTAGGACAGCCGAACTGAGGAAGTATTGTGTTGGCAAGAGAGCAACATCATGCATCATTTGCGATGGAAGGAACAACCGATAATCTATGCTCGGGTAGTCCAGAACTTGGAGTGGATTCACGAGACTTAAGTTTCAGATGTTACTACATAGGACCAAATAAATCACAATGTTTCTCGGACACACTTCTGCATATTTCATTCATCTCCGGCACATCTGCACGGAATGGTGTATTAGAATCAATGATTACATCTATATACATAAAAGTCCAGCCAACATCATAGAAAGCAGCCAGACAGGTTCCGTACCACGGAACCGACATCATCACATCCATCGTCGATTCCCAAAGGAGACATACATGACTACCAAGCTCAACCCATAAATCTGTATCCCAAGTACAAGCCCTTGTTTTTAACCAACAAGAAAAAGAAAAGGTAGAAAAATCGACATGAAGAAAGAAAGAGAAACGCATTTACCGACCCAGCATTTTCAGCTCAATAGGTCTCAGAACGGAATGCATGACGAAAGAAAAGAGGAGAGCCAACTCGAAACCGACATCACCATTACCAGCATGCTTGGCGATGGGACCTGTGTACCATGTCTCACTCATACCAGTAACCATACCCGCGACACCGAAAGCAAAGGAGATACAAGCGGCGATACCATAGGGCAGCTTGTTGGGCTTGTCATATGTCTCGGGGCGGTATCCGGAGAAGCCACGGCGAACGATGTGGTCGGCAAGAGCGACACCGGAGTAAATGGCCAGCCAGTAGGCGATGAAGTCCATCAGGTTCTCCAGGACTTCCTCGAAGTGAGAGTAACCGGGGATGGCGACGGCGATGGAGACACCGGAGGCGAGAAGGACCCAGATGAAACGGGGAACGCGCTGGGAGTAGCGACTCAGGACCTGGAGAGTCAGGGAAACGGAGTAGATGTTGGGGCAGTTGTTGGCGATGATGGACAAAGACAGGATCACCAGACAGAACTTGCCGAAGCCACCGACGGGATCAAGAACAGCGCCCAGCAGACCTCCGTTTCCAGACTGGCTGTAACCAAGGGCGTATTTGTTGTCTCCGCCGTTGATGGAAGTGGCGGTCATAACAGCGATACCCAGGAACTGGGTGAAGAGAAGAGGGGGGATCAGGCCTCCCCAGGCGGCAAAGAAGATCTTACGGCGGCTGCGGTCCGCGGGCTGGTAGACGGTGTAATCGGCGGCGTAGCTGGTCCAGCCAGTGGCGAAACCATAGACAGTCGCACCGTAAGACAGGCAAGAGCCGAGCTCAGAGGTTCCAGTTCCCATGGGGAGGTTCCTGAAATCACCGGAGTGGGCGAACAATCCGAACACGATCATGAAGACAATAAAGGTCGGGATCCAGCTGTAGTACTCGTACAGGTGGACAACCTTGTATCCGGCGAAAGTGACGAAGAGGGTGCAGATGGCGATGATCAAGATGCCTGCAAATCCAGGAACGTCGGAGTTCACCGCATTGAGAAGTTGGGCGCCGACGATGGAGTTGGCGGCGGACCAGCCCAAACAGGAGAGAACGTTCAGGAGGGCAACTATAGCAGAGGGTATAAGCATATGATGGCGGTAGCCAGGCTGTCACAGGAAACTTACTGATCTTAGTAGGCCAATAACCGAACCAGAACCGGGAGAGCACCATCTGGCGCAGACCAAAGGCGGGACCAAAGCAGGAGAACCAGCAGACGGTCAAAACACCCAGCAGGTTGAAGAAGAAGCAGACGAGGATGGCATCGACGAAGCCGAGAGCGAAGGTGGAGTAACCAAGCACGCCGATAGCGAAAGAACTGCTCACCATGTTGGCCGCCAGCCACTGCGACGGGTCAGTTTGGGAGGGCGGTCTTGGAGCAGCCGGCAAGAGAGCCGACGAAGACGAAAGCACAAGGCAAACAAGAGTTAAGAACACACCATGCTGCTGATATTGAAGTACGACGTGTCAGTCCGTTCATTGTCCGGGACACGTTCGACACCTCGCTGCTCAATATTGAGCTTTCCCGCCAACCGTTGCAGCTTTGCGTACAGCGAATTGCCGTACATGAAACTCTCCCCAGGGACAGCGCCATCGCTGCTGTCATCCATGGGCGTTTTGCCCACCTGGGGGGCTTTTTCGAGATCGGACTCGACTCCTCCGAACATGGTGTTGGAATGGAAAAAGGTACGCGTATATCTCAACGGCGCAAGGTTTGAAAATATGCTGACGTTGGGAAGATAACCCTCGGTCAGGAATCAAGTAGACTTGATAAGAAGTCTTTTTTTGGAACTCTTGAATACGAGAGCTGTAAAGCTCAGGTACCAAGTATAGTTCAAGGGGGAAGGGGAAGGGAAGGGAAAGGAGGAGACGGAAATCACATCTTTCTTTTTTCTTTCTTTCTTTCTCTGCAAGAGAGCATGGGAGGAGAGCTCCTAATATGTGTTCGGAGGCAACGAGAATTTCTTCTCACACCCACCGTGACGAGGCCCACCCCACGAGATCCGAACGAGTATCAGGCACGATGATTGATCGCTTCTGCACCGACGGAGAAACGCCGCCGCGACCGCGTAACAGCTTCCCATGGGCTCAGCTCCTGTCGCGTGTTCCGGCGGAGGTCCCAGCCCTGGCCTGGTCCGCCTTTCTTGTTTCGAGAAAAAACTCTCACGTTTACTTTTTTCTTACGGGCCCCACCGCCGCCAACTTGTCTTAGCTTAGCCCTAGTGCGCACAAGCTTATGTTGCCACCAATTATATGCAGCATGGCCCCATCTTCATCATTATCATTGGAGGATACAAGGCTGGGCACATGGTTAAGCACCACATAGATCGCAGAAATTATCAGCAGTCTGCCTCTGATTGGACATCTTTGTCTACCAGGACCGAGTGGGTCTGGTGGCGAAGGAACCCACGCTGATAAGGTCTCGCCTGGTGATAGGCACACCTGCGCCCGTAACCCTGAGAGATTTGATAATGATAACACTTCAGGTTCGTTAGGTATTTCGGTTTGTACGGCTTACCGCGATGCCTGCAGCTGGTCCCCCCAAGGCTGACTATCTCTGTCAGGCCCGATAGCCACCTATCTCATGGTGTTGATTATCATCACCCCGGACTGTCAATTTGAATGCTAGGGGGTGTTGATATCATTCCTGCAGTCGGTCAACGCCGAAGGGCGCAGGAACTCTATCGTTGTCCTGCTTACTGCATGTAGACTTGCCACCGTTGCCTCATCGCACAGTTTTATTCTCCGTAGTGTAGTCATGGGGCCACAGGAACTGGCTGATCAACGCAATAATTATGCCACGATCGCCAGCTCGAAAGGAAGAAGTCAACTATTAGCCTGAGGCATTCAAATTCAGAAACATCATCATAATCAACAATGACAGAAGCAGCTATCTTTCCCCAGACTTTGCTGATACCCCGCGTCATCGGAAACCTACGAAGAATTGTGCTTCGGGCTGACAGGGAAGCGGTGATCGCCGCCTCTAATCGCTATCACAAAGTTTTGCCATGTGCAGCCCGTCCGCGAAGCTTCAGCTAAGCATATCTGCGCCGAGCGATATCGACTTGGCAGGCAGACATGTGAAGTTGGATGCTGTTTATTGGGGAGAGGACTTGATTTCACAGCTGGCTATGCATAGGCCTTGATTGGATGCCATGCAGTCCAGATAAGGGCCTCCTTGTCCATATCTCTGGGATGCAATAGTTGCATGATACGAACCCCTTAGCGCGGGAGCCCCTAAATTACCGCCAACTCATAGCAGCATCATCCCCGGAATGTCTGCCTGTTCTGGCCACAGCTATCGTCAGATTGAGCGAGAGTCCTAGGTCAAGTCTGGAGTATGGAGTGTTTCTATCCTCCACCTAGCACCTGACACCTATCTTCATGGAATACTACACACATTCTAGAACAAAGATAGCATCTCAGGCCGCTTGTGTCTGATACGTACCAGCCGAACTGGACAGTCCATCGTTATCAGGGCCCTTCTTCCCCTTCCCGCCTAATCAACCAACTTCCGCCGTCTCCCTCTTTTCCCGTTTAGCAGCTAATTAAACCCGCCAGTGCCCTGGACATGCAACCCTGCATTAAAACTTTACCCTTTCCTGCTGCCTAGCCCAATTCTTCTTTCTTATTATTTGCCTTCCTCATCTCATATACCACAACCATCCACAGTGTACTCACAGCAGAGACACTGCAACACCCAACCAAGCCGTGACGCTTCCAACTGTAATCTATCTACATACCCTACTCAGACGACCCTCAGTGGAACCTCCACCCTGCCGCTCCACAACTGCAATCCGCACTAACGACCCACCGAGGAAACTCTCGGGATCTGAAGGGTGACTCCAACAGTAACTTTCGGGAAAGTAACCTAGAAAAAAAATTGGAAAGACGTTTTCCCGTCGTCGCGTGCTTGTAGTAGACAATACCAAAGTAGGCATGTACCTGCGTGCCCAGCCACCAACGCAGACAATCGCATTCAGCCCCTCCCTTTCAAGCTGAGACACGGAAGCGTCTTTCTTTAATCATTGATATTGAGATACCTACATTAAAATTTATCTATACATAACTGCACATAATCCTTTAACCCAAAATAACTAAATATTAATTATCATCAATCCGAAGAACACAAAAAAGAACGGTACCGAACGCGTCTCCCAACCCCGAACGACCTTCCTAACCTACGCGTCGGATAACCAGTTCTGGTGTCCTCGATAAAAAAAAATTTTTTCATTTTCCCTTCCATACTATCTAACCACTAATCGATGAATGAAAGAATGGATAGATGGGACGGTTCGACCCGCCAATCCCAACGCAGTCTCACCAGTCCCGATTCAGCTCTAATTTAGTACTTACTATCGGTTCGGTTTCCCGAGTCTGCCGAGCATTACCATTTTATGTCTACCGTGGGCTTTATAGGATGCTTCGCAGAATAGTGTGCCAAGGACCAGCCAACCAACCATTCAATTAGTTATAAGTGTAGACAGTTACTAAGCGGGGGGTTTTGCCGAGCCGAAGCCATATTCTTCCATTCTTCTTTTCTTTCGTTCTTTCGTTCTTAATTGGGCTAGATTGTAGTTCGCTATTGAGGGTTAGTGAGTCACAAATTTGTTTTCTATACGAATTCCGCGGTAAAGATCAAATCAGATTGCATAGATTTGTCCTTGAGGCTTTTTCTTTTCTTTTCCCGCCCGTCAATACCTTCCTAATTCCTATTCCACTATCCTCTGGGGCAGTTGGAGATACGTACTAACTACAAAATACCTAGACTCCTTCTGGATAAGAATATGCAGGTACAGACATGCCTCACTAGCTAACTACTTCATAACTAGCTTACTTGCTAGATATATACGGAGTAATGGCTGGAATCTTCGAAATCCGAATATGGGTGCCTGTTTGTTGTGACTTACAACTGTGGCACTAGACTGCTTGTAGACAGATGAAAATGTGGCTATTCGCCTTAGAACGCTGGGGCGTTGAAAATGTGGGTTCGGAGATTGGTTAGCTCACTTAGGTGAGGCGCCAAGGGAGAGAGGGATGACGTGGGTTTTCAGTTGTGCAAGATGTTGGGAAGTTGGAGGTTACTCTTCTTTGTAGTATGTTATTGTTGTATGGGATACTATGCATTTTGGAAGTAGTAGTACCTAGTGGGTGCTTACTTAGTAGTAATCATGAAAATTCAATTGCTTCCGATGTTCAGATCATTGCGTTGTGCTGCTGCTGCTGCTGCTGCTGCTGCTGCTACATGGATATATATATAGCATCATCATCTTCGGCATCTTTCCGTGATCTGCGTCATACTTACTAGTTGATCCTATGGGTATCTTGAGAATAACTAATCCTCCGGAGTAATGATAATGGACATGTAATTAGCGGGGATATATGATGGGTGTGGCTGTATGTATGAGAAACATCAGAGATTGGTGTCATGATTGGTAAAAATTTTGATATGCATGTCACATTAATACCACGCTCATCAGAATACCAACTTTCTGGTTAATCAGTAAGAGTATTCATTCACATCATATGCCTACAATATATACCGAAGACTGACATGGAAAAGTCCATCAAGTATCTGACTTTCCCTTCTCCGAACAACTAGCAACCCCCTCCCCTACCTCTCCCACCTGTTCCACTCCATCTACAACTAATCCCTGCACATCAGCTGGTCCCTTGAACTGCTTGCGGGCAGTAGTGAACCACGTAAAAATGCTCAGCAACGCAATCAGCCCGATCGCCGCACTGGTGTAGTTCATCGAATCCGGAGTGACTGGTGCATCTGAAGGAAAGTTAAAGGTAATAAACGCAAAGAACAGAAACAGGAATCCCAGGCCGTGTAGACTGAGCGATATGGGCAACGGGAAAGAGTAAGGACCATCGACGGGAGCGATGTCATGGCCAAAGAAATACCCGAGGAGGCGAGCAAGAAGAACTAGTGCGTAGGAGACGTCTATGATAGTGACACTGTCAGCTCTGCCCTCTATATCCAAATTCTAAGGGAACGTCTTACAGAATCCCGTGGTCGCAATGGATACAACTGTATTAAAACCAGTGACAGTGCCGAAGTAGATCGAGTTGAAAGCCATTTGCACCACAACGGTAAACAATATCGCATATATCGGGATCTTTCTCCTCTTCTCCACCCGGGATAAGATCCCAGAGAATGGCATTCCCCGGTCCCGTGCGAATGCAAACAGTGCCCGGGAGCCCTCCGCAACAAGACTTACTGAGGCTACCATCATGATCACCGTCATCATACTAGTCATAAAGCAGGCCGCGACTTTGCTTTGGGTTGAGTCGTAGAAGATCTGCAACACGGGGACACCGGTGGAGGAGTTTGCAGTAGCATCTATGTCGCCGATGCAGAAGCAGAGCGTCAACAGGAAAATGAATCCTGTTACAGCGCCCATCCCAACAGACATGACCATGGCTTTGGGCGCATCTCGCGAGGCATGTGTCATTTCTTCGGTCATGTGGCTTGGAGTATCGTAACAGCACATGCCGAAGAAACTTTGAAGGATTCCGACCATTGTTGCCATTGCGGATCCGAAGCCGGTCGTGTTCTGGAAATCCTGAAATACGAATGCGGCATCTTGTTTGTCTTTGTTGGTTGCTAGTAGAACTACGACGATGATGATGAACGAGCAAACGTTCCACAGCAGGATGGCCCGCGATAGGCGGTTGAGCAGGTGGGGCAAGAATATATTGACCAGAAGAGCCCAGATTGCGACTGCATAAGTGACCAAGACAGTATGCCACCGTTCGATTACATATCCGGGATATACCAGATTTGCTTGTCCGAGGATGAAGTTGGCTGCGAATGAGTTGTTCGCAGAGCCCATGGCGAGAATACCTGTTCTCGACTAAGCATTGTGACAAATAGTCTGGAGGTATGCCATCGCTTACCCATTAGCATGAACCACCCCGTTATGTACGACATCTCTCGAGCGATCTTTGGTGGTGCTAGCAGAAAGACCCATGAATACTGCCCTCCCGCTACAGGCCACCTTGAGCACCATTCTGCCATGGATAGGGCAACCGCAAAGGTGATTACACACACGCCCAACCACCCGAAGAGCATAACCGGTGGGCCACCGGCATCTACCCCAATGATGAATACACCACTGAGCGCACTCCAGCTGTCGTAGATGTTAGTCAGCTGTTCGACATGGTAAGATCGGTGTGGACTACCAGGTAACAATACTAAAACTGAAGCCTATCATATCCAAGAGGCCGAACGACCGTTTGAATTCTGGAGTCATGAACGTCAGTCAATACACTTCTAATTCGAGACTCCATCATTAATCCAGTCATACCTTGCTGATAGCCCAAGTGCTCAAGCGTGAGGTCTTCTTCGGTGCCATGGCCGAAGACATCTTTGGGCTCCACAGACATGATGCCGATGGTGGTGACGGTGCATAAAGGGTCTTGAGGCCGATCAGATTGACGACATATCTGCTATATATCCAGTCGGGACAACATGATAAGCTCTTGACGATAATGTACCGTGTCTGTCGGCTGGCTCTGCAGCTCAGCTTGCCAAGTGGTGCTTATCAGCGGATCGACCGGTGACATACCGAGTTGGAGAACCGCCATTGGCAGGACGCGCATCTTCAGCAAGGGGCATTGGGCCTATCAAAGGAGTAACTTTATTGCTATTTCGGACCCTCCGACATGCCTTCGACCTGTAGTTTTCGTCTGAATGAGCCAGCAGCGCGGTCGGAGTATGACTCAGCTGCTAGTGACTCCGATCGTGGTGAACTAACCTGCGGGGTACGTACTACCCAATCCCCTACTATATAATCGGTGAATCACAATCAGCGCCCACATGATTCAAAGTCACTTTTGACCCCTCACAATGGCTTACATTGAGGACTTACAAGGGCTCATAGCCCAATCGCTATCATTGGTGGTCCTCGCAATTTCTAGCGCCATATTCTGCAGATGCTTCTATCGCATCTACCTTCATCCTCTATCATCCGTACCGGGTCCTAAGCTCGCAGCCTGCACTTCGCTATGGTTAGCATACCACACATATATCGGCGATGAATGTACAGTAGTATATGATTTGCATCGCAAATACGGTCCGGTCTTACGAGTCGCTCCCAATGACGTCGACATCGCTGATAAAGATGCGCTGGAGCCAATCTACGTTGCTCGCGGTGGTTTCCCCAAGACATCAGCATATTCCAAGTTCGACATTGACGGACACACGACCATATTCTCCAGTCTGACGTTGCCTGAGCGAGCAACACGAGCGAAAGCTGTCGCCCCTCTTTTCTCTACGGCATCAATTCGCAACTCTCAAGAAGCCTTACGCGAGGTCTTCGACGATTTCGCGAAAAGATTGCAGGCTGAAGCGCGTACTGGTAGACCAGTAAACGTGC